AATAATGCACACACTGAGGAAACTGGATAATGCAGTGAGTTACAGTAATCCTTTTACTTCTGGAAGCTAAGCTTAAATCCAGGGTGGACTGAAGTGATTTAAATATCCTCCCTCTGAGAGATGCTGAACCGAGGTTCTATTTGCCAGTTCAGATGGACATTAATGATCCCATGGCTCAATTCAAAGAGAAGGCAGTTTCTCCCAGTGTCCTGACCAAGAATCCCCTAGATCAAAAAAGTTGGACATTTACTTCATGGCTGTTTGTTGAGCATTACTGCGTGCAAATTGGCTGCCACATTTGCCCACCAATACACCCAGTGCACTTTACAGACACTGTGAAAGTGCTTTGAGATGTTTCAATGTGGTAAGGTGCAATGTTAAATTCAAGGATTGTTATTCTTCTTAAAATGCAGTATAATACGATACAGTATAGTAGAACTGTTAAGTTATCCAAAACCTCTCTAGTTAAGGTATTTCAAACCCAAGTTGGGAGTAGATTAAAGCACATGGCTATTGCTGGTGCTTTCATCAACTTCTTGTCCTTTATTCCAGTCTGAAATTTATTCAGTTGTACATTGAAACCTCATTATGTTTCAATACAATTCATTATACCAAAAATGAAGAATTTCTCCAATTCTCGAAGAAGAAGCTAAAATGAAATAGTAATAATAATAATAATAATAATAATAATCCTTGCATTTGATATAGCTCCTTATCACATTGTTGAGTCTCAAAATGCTTCACAGGATATGCTGTAAAGTGAATTGACTGTACATATTTTGTGGGCGAAAGGTGGGAGCCAGTTCCACACAGCAATATCCCACAAACAGCCATTTTATTTGGGGAATTGTTGGCCAGGACACTGGGAGAAACTCTCTTCTCTTTTTTAATAGCCACCTGAACAAGCAGATGAGATCTTGGTTTAATATCTCGTCTGAAGACGGCACCTCCGACAATGCAACACTCCCCCAGCACTGCGTTGGAGTGTCAAGTTAGTCTATGCGATTTCAAGTTCCAATGTGAGGCTTGAACCCATAACATTCTGAGCCAGGCTAAGTTACTTCCAATTCACCCTATTTCTCTGCTACTACATGGAGTTGATGCCTTTTCTTGTTGCATACGTACATTGGTAGAGATGGAGGTAAAATAAAATAAGAATTTCTCACAATGAGGCAAGAGAGAGAAGGAGGAATGTTTGATAAATAACAGCATAGTTATTTCTCTTTCACCAACACAGTCGAATTCTCCTGTTCAAAGGAAAAACATTTGAAGTCAATTTAAAAAAAACGTAATCACATAAACATTGAATAAAAAGGGTATTTAATCAGGAAGGTAGGTGGTTACAGCACTTAGTAGGCTATTATTTTTAAGAAACATTTTAAAATATTTTCGCCGTGTGACTCAATATTATACAGCATGAAATCAATCAAATACCTGCCATTAAATGGTCAATCAGCTGAATCAATATCACTAAAGTAGAACAGTGCTTTCACCTTCACGGCCACCATAGCTGAAAAAATACTCATTGTGGGGTTCACACAATGAATATATAATGCTAATTTGCTCAGGCTATGTCCATTAGCAATCAGATCAACAGTGGTGAAACCCCCTGCATTCGTGTAATTGGGCATTAGTGCATTTTACCTACTGCTGAAGGTTTTAATATTTAAAACATGATATTCAAAGTGATAATTAACTATAAACAAGAACATTTAGATTTCTGGAAGTTAAATGACATTAAAATGGCTTCCTTGGCAATTACCATAATAATAATGACACACCCTTCTGACTGGAAATTCAAGTAATAAGAATGTTTTCTCATACAGAAAATACAGAACATACTACCCTGAAAATTATATTTTAAATTTGGGATATTACTCAAGAGGTATTTAGCTACCAAAGGAACTTTATTGCTGAGTCAACTCCTGGTCAATATCAGGACAGTCAATAAGCATTCAGCGACCATTAATCAATCACAATGCAATTCAGGCTTCTAATTCCACTCATTAATAACTCATGTCATCACTTTTTACACTTCAAGCACTCCAAGACACTACCTGCGCAAAGGTCACCATGTACATCAACATGCTGTTGTTTTATTCACAAGCCCAGACATAGAGCGCTTTCGAACCATTTGAGAGCTGAGAACAGCAGCCATCAGTAACTGTTGCATCAGCCAAGCTCACTCACTGTCCTCAGCCAACTTCCACCCACATGCATAATCCTGTGGTGGGCAAAGGATAGAGATCAGAAAGGAGTGGTAATTGTGGCTGATCACCCTTCCGTAGCTTGAGGGCACTGAGGCTAGTCACAGCATCCAAGCGCTTTTTTGCTGTTGTCATTTTAATAATTCTTGCGCTCTGGGACTTAACCCCGCGTGAAGGGCGCTATGCAAATGCAAGTTGTTGTTGTTGATACACATGTTTCACAGCGCTTCACAGGATATACACTGTAAAGTGTTGTGGCTGTGAATACAACAACAACAACAAAAAATTACATTTCTATAGCGACTTTCACATCGGGAGGACTTCCCAAGGCCCTGAAAAGACAGAGTTACAGACCCAAGCTGGAGGTCGGGGTGGAGAAGGGTTGAGGGCAGGCAGGGAAGCAGGGAGATCGAAAGCACAGTCGAAGAGGAGGGTCTTGAGATGGGTCTTGAAAGTGGCGAGGGAGGGGGTGAGACAGAGAGACTGCAGGATGGAGTTCCTGAGGGTGAGGCCCACTTGCCAATAGTGGGGCAAGCAAGGCAGGGGACGTGAAGCATGCCGGAGCCCTTTGAGTGGAGGGAGCGATCAGGATGGTAGGGGTTAGGAGATCGGAGAGGTAGGAGGGAGCAAGACCATGGAGGTCTTTGAAGGTGAGGACCAGGATTTTGAACTGTATCCTCTGTGTGATGGGAAGCCAGTGGAATTGGGCAAGGATGGGGGTGATAGGGTCGCAAAGTCTAGTGTGGGAGAGGACACGGGCTGCAGAGTTCTGGATGATCTGCAGCTTGTGGAGGGAGGAGTTGGGGAGGCCGACAAGCGATGAGTTTGCATAGTTGAGCCTTGATGTAATGAAGGCATGTATGAGGGTTTCGTTGGCCTGCCATGTGGGACAGTGTCAGAGCCTGGCGACATTGCAGATGGGGGGCAAGGCAGAGCGGGTCAAGGCGCAGATGTGGGTTAGAAAGGATAGTTGAGAGTTAAATAAGACCCCAAGGTTCCGAGCTGGCTTAGCAAGGTGGAGTGTGCAACCATGGATGGTGATGCTGTCAGCACCTGAGGTGAGGAGACGTTGACAAGAGCCAATCAGGAGAGCCTCGGTCTTGTTGACATTCAACTGAAGAAAGTTAGCTCTCATCCAGGACTTGATGTCCGTCAGGACAGCAGTAGTCCTGGAATCAAGGGTGGAGGCAGAGAGATAGAGTTGGGTGCCATCCGCATACACGTGGAACTTGATCCCATATCTGTAGACAAGTATATGCTCCATGTAAGAGATGTGAATCAAGTACCAATTTGAAAATATTTTGTAATAAAATCAAAAGAAAGGAAACAGCATAATATTAACAAAAAGTAGAGGTTGTTTGGTCAGTCATTTTACTGAAAATGAAGTAAAATTATTTTGCTTCCAAATTAGACATCTTATCTGATTTATCACAAGCCATCATCTTCACATGACATTTCAATCCAGCTTTGGAAGTTCAAGAATTCTTCTGCGACCATGAGCGCCCCCTCATGGTCGATACATATATGTGCAGCACTGTCTATTTCACTAAACTGGACAGCAATTGCTGTGGACAAGTACATGCTCCATGTAAGAGATGTGGATCAATTAGCAATCTGAAAATTAATGTCTTCACATTTTGCAACCACTTACTGAGCTCAGAGAGCGCACATTCGATAGCTTATTCTGAGAGAGAGAGACATTGAAGAGTTGATGTGTAGATATGAGTGAGATACAAATACTTCGGTGAATGTTCATCATTAAATCAATTTGATTTAAGTTAAGTAAGTAAAATCAATGTATATTTATAGATTCTCCTCAGTATAACGATAACCTGCAAAAATACAACTATATAATTGTAATGGCAGATTGTTGGACATAAGAATTTAATTGGTATTCTCATGAAAATAGTATTATCAAGGTCATCCAATATTTATATTTGTGTTTGTGTATGTGGGGATTGGGGGCAGGCGGATGGGGGTGGAGGGCGTGGAGGGTTAACAATCGATGTGGAATACAAACCTATTTCTTGAATTTTTCTTCAGCAATTTTGCCTATGTTATGTCAATTACCAACTTGCCATTTTCTGTGTTGTTTCAATACAGTCTCGGTCTCAGGACCACACAAATGGTAAAGGCATCCAGAAATGTGCAAGCTACCATTGCAATTCATCTACATGTTGCCATACACTCCACCACCTTTTATACTGCTCAATCACTTTCTTTGCCAAATAGTGGTTTAAGAAATTGTTGATTTGTGAAACATTATTAGGGTCCATTATTAGGGTTCATCAATATGCTTCAGGATCTTAAGTACATCAATACTTCTCTTTCCCCAATGTAGTTTCTCCTCACAACTCAAGTGCCTAATTGCTACAAACAATTTTGTAACTATTCACTGTACCCTCTTTAATAGCAAAATGTCCTGCCTATAACACGAAGACCAGAATTTTACCCAGTACTCCTGGTGGGACCTATCTTTACTCTGACCAAATGCAGCATCAAATCCTGTGATTTATGCTTTCCTGATATGAATGCCAATTTCACTCCTTCTGTTAGCCTGGCTGAGATGAGTTAAGTAAGCATAGGCAAGAGAGTGAACTTGGGATCTTCCTAGTGTGTGTGGCTCAGACTGTTCTGTAACTTTACCAACTGAGGTTTTGGGGGAAATCTCGGTTACGTCAGCATCTTTGAAGCACGATTCTACTGCCTGATCAGAGTAGGTTCCTCTCAACAATACATCAATACTATTAGAGTCTGATTAGTTTAAAAACACTTATCAAATAGTTTCATTTTAATAGTTTAACAGTTTATTGCACACTGACAAAACATCATAAATAAGCAACAACAAATTTACATTTAAAAAGCATGTTTACGTCAGGAGGACGTCCCAAGGTTCTGATCATTAATTTTGAAAGGAAATCCAGCACAGCAAACCTTCATTATTATGGAGTTCCTGAAACTTCTATAAAGGTGTGAGATGCAATGCGTTAACCTGGATATGAGATTGCAATTTCAATAGAATTTTAAAACCCTTTTCTAAATTCTGTATGAAACCTTTCCACTGGTCTCTGTTGTAAAAATAAATCCCAATCCATTTATTTAGCATGTTGCTACATTACACTGTGAAATTTGTTTGCTGGATTAAATGTGAGTCACTTCATTCAAGTACACCTGAAGCAAAGTACAGTTAGTTATCCATGGTATTGTACAGGCCTGCAAGAAACTGATCACTTTCCATGATGTTGCAACTTAATAGAGGCAGCCTTCCAATTTAGCTCACACAAAAGAAGATTTGGCCTTTAATTTGGGCTCTGGTTAGAAAGAACTGAACAGTTCCCTTTAAGGGATGAAAGAGCTTATCTCTGTCTGATGCGATCTGCAGTTTTTCAGTTAGATCACATGTTTCTTGATAGTCTTGATCAGCTGCACTGCTAGTATAAATTGAAACACCTAGAGAGAGGTAAGTACATTAGACGATAAACAGCTTTACCAAGAAACATATCCAGCAACAGATCTTCAAAACATCTTATTACAATATTGCAATCCTCTATGATTATTTTAATGGAACTATTATGTGAAATAAAAGTTCTCTTCATCTTCCCTCATTTTCCTTTCTTCCAGAAATCCATCTATATTATGTCTGTCTGAGATCTGCTGTGGAACTATTATTCACATGGACCCACCCACAGAACCTGCTATTCGGAATAAACCACCATATGTTGTGTGAATCTGATGTGTGTTGAATCTTAATCTTTTTTATTTACATTCCATCTCTCCGCAAGCAACACAAGCTGAGAGTAGAAAACCTATTATGTATCGATACTCACATTTGATATAGCACCTAATTCCGCTAATATATCTTAAAGCTCTTCATGTGATGAGTTATTTTTGAAGTGAATGAACATCAGCAAAATTCAGCTGCAGAAGCTGCAGAAGCATTATCCCAGAACAGTATTGAGATGAATGTCCAATCAATCTTTATGGTGAAATTTTAATGAGTGAAAAATATTGGCCACAAAGCTGAGAGAATTTCTTTGAAATAATGTCTACCTGAACAGGCAGATGGTCTCCTGAATTTAATGTTTCATCTGAAGGACAACAGCTCCAACAGTGTAGAAATCCCTCAGTAATGCTTGACTGTCAGTTTAATTTCTGAGCTCAAGCTTGAAACCATCATCTTTTGACCCCAAAGGCAAGAGTGCTATCAAGTGAGATAAACTGACAAGGGAACTATATACACATACAGAGCAATATACTCTGATGCAATATATAGTGATGCACTGACTATCTGAGCTTCTTCGTTCATGTAGTTCTTTTCAAGACAAACTTTTTTGTGGGAGTTACCTAGAGTTAAAATAATAATTCTTATCTTATGCCATCACAAAGTGCTTCACAGGATATTCTGTAAAGTGGAGTGACTGTATTTTATGGGCGAATATGGAATCAACAAAAGAGGTCATAAATGGCCATGTCATTGATTTGCTTCTGGTTGTGCACACCCATCGCAGCCCTATTTACTCTATATTAAAATGGATCAGGTTAAAACTCATTCAATTTCAATTATCCAAATAGGAAAACAACTGGCATTCACGTCAGTATAAGTGTACAGTATAATAATAGATCTCTAATGCTAGAGGTTAGCTAGAGAGTGCTGGTGACATTTTTCGCATTTTTTCAGTTTACCATATGATACATGAAAGCTACCTGTGAAATACTTTGTGCTAACCACTGAGTTAGAAGGTTGTGAATTCAAGTACCAAACCAGAATTTAAAACCCACAGTCTTGGCTGACACTACAATGCATTGCTGGAGGTGACATTCTTTGATAATAATTAACCGACATGCTCTTTATCTGTTAAAAGTTCCTTAGCAGTATTTTAAAAAATAAGAGAATTTTTACTGGTGTCCTGGCAAACAATCCTCCAAATAAAAAAAATGTTCATTCACTTCAGGGTTGTTTGTGGGACATTGCAGTGTGCAAATTTGCTGTCATGTTTGCTCACAAATAGTCACCACACTTCACAGCAACATTCTATGAAGTGCTTTGAGACATCTCAATGAGGTTATAAGGCACTGTATCAAATGCAAGCATTATTATCAATATTATTGTGCCCAGTGGTTATGACTGTACTGCCATAAAACAATAATGTTTAGCAGCTTTTTGGGAAGAAATTGATCATGCATTGAAACTTTTTTTAGTAGTTCAAGGCAGCTCTTTGTCTATCTGTTACAATTTCTTTTCTCTTTATTCATGTCAAGACGTGCCTCATAATGTACCTGTTTGATTGCTCTTTCAGCCATTTCCCCTTCCCACACCCCTCTTGATATGTCTACATAAATGCAAATTGTATTGTCACTGATGTCAAAACACCCAGTCTTTGAATGTCCATTTACATTTTATTTGTATGAATGTATAACTGGATTAACTAAAACACAGATTGAGAGTCACAGTATTAGAATTCAATGTTGTACCTGTGTGAGGAGGAGACCCACAGCCACTCCGAGAATAATGAAGATGCTGTTAAAAAGCCAATCTTGGATTGCTGTTTTACAGCCCTGTAAGACACGGCTAAATTATACAACATGGACAGACCATGTATAATTTCAAAACAATCAATTCAACCTATTACTCAAATTTGCCACCTGTCCTTTTCTGGAAATAATCAGGAACATAAGAACGTAGATCTTCCAGGCCTTTGAGCCTGCAGCACTATTTTATTAGATTATTGGCTATTCTGCAATCTAATTCTATTTTTCTGCCATTTCACCATATTCACTGATACCCAAATATTCATCAATCTCCATCTTAATATTTCTATTGAAATGAAGAACACTCCACTCTTTCCTCTAAGATGAACCCTCTCCATGTGATTGATTCCTGAATCCCATTCTGCTATCAGAGAAAATGAGTGAAAAGCCAGGCCCTTCCTTGGAGGGAGTAACAGTAACAGCCTGACACTGCCTTTCCTTGGGGATTTCCATATGATTGCAACTAAAAGTGAGATAGTAACTAACGAAATGTTCTGCACATTAACTGACAGACAGTCAGCCTGATATCCAAAGAGATATGGGAGGCACTAAAGAGCAATTCACTTGGTAAAAATGTAGACTTTAGAGTCAGCACTTTACAAATTAACACAATTAGCACAAAGATTTGTGCAAACACAGTTGTCAAAAATTGAGTAACATCAGTGCAAGGTTAAAAACTACTGAGAGCTCACAGATCAGGTTAATTTTGCTTTTCCTTGTATTGACTCTTTAAACACATCATCTAGGAAGTCTGAATATGAAATGTCTATTATAACTCAATATAACTGGTTCTGTTGCATTGCACTGCATTATGTTGGATGCTGTGAGACCAATTTGTTCAAAACAGTTACTGAGTACAGCACTCATGACTGATTCTTTTTAAATCCTATCAAAAATGGTTAATTTCTGACCTAACCTTAACTCAAAGATATCTAGAAGATGGTTTATTTATATTCCTGGGTTTAATGAAAATAATCTAACATTTTGCTGAATAACATGCAATGCTTCTATGGGATAGATCTTCAATGGGGTAATGAATTGCAATGGGTATTTATGTAAAAATTGGCTAAGCAGAATGTTCCTTACCTCTGGGTAGATGTAGGTGTCCTCAGTCACATTACAGAAGAGGCTAGAAGTAATTGTATTATTGGTACAAGAGGAAGGAATCAGGGTCAAATTGGGGAAGGATAAGATCACTTCATTCATCTTCCAATCTGTGTTGTTGTAGTGCCCACAACAGTTAATCTAAGATTCAAACACAAATCCAAACACATGAGTTAGCATTCAATTTTAAATCCATAGAAAAACCTCCCCATTGTGTTCACGTTATTCTGCAACTGGAGCATCTATTTCATGATGCCCCCTTCATCAAAACTCTCTTGCATCTTTGAACTAAAATAGGATGTGATAAAGGTTTCCCTTGCCATCAATATGCTGTAATATATCAAAGTTAAGATTATCGTTCCACCTAAGCAACTTCATTCAATCGTTACTTAATATTTTGGCATTGACTGCATGGACAACATATTATGTCTATGAGATTAATATAAAGTGTGATTCACACTCAAAGATTAAATAACTCTTGAGTAAAACCGTCAAAGGCTATTGTTTAAGATCTTGTATGTTTTACCTCCTAAATGTCAAGTATTCTGACTTTACCATGAGTGTGATTGTATTGCTATATTTTCTCCTATAGTCTTCCTGCATTACACACCATTCCAGGATAAGACAGTGGGTTTGAGAAGTACAACAACAACTTGCATTTGTATAGTGCCCCTCACACACGTTAGCGTCTCAGAGTACTTGACAGTGGCAGAGCCTGATGCCGAGCCGGGGAATAGGATGGGGGATAGGAGGTAAAACTTGGCTTGTAGCATTTTTGCCTCTGAGTCAGGCTAGTGTTCATGCCCCACATCTGGATTTTAAACTCACAGTCTAAGCTAACAATCCAATATAATGCTGGGGCAGTGCTGTATTGTCGGAGGTCCCGACTTCAAATGAGATGTTAAACCGAAGTCCTGTCTACCTATTTGGGTGGATATTAAAAATCACATAGTACTATTTGAAAAGAGAAGGGAAATATCCTGGCCAACATTCCCTGATAAAGTTGATTATTCACTTCATGGGTGTTTGTGAGACATTGCTGCACGCAAATTGGTTGCCTTATTTGATTTTAAATACACAGTCACTAGACCCAGCAATATAAAATCCTGTGAACTGTTTTGAGACTCTTTGATGAGGTGATCAAGTGCTGTATCAAATGGAAGGATTATTATTACAGTGGCTGCTCTTGAATCAGTTTAGATGGTGTAGGAGAATAGTTTGGAAGGAGCTGGATTTGCCCACAATTTTGCCTCCTGCGCTCTAGTCAGTGCTGGTCTCCATAGAACCATAGAATTATACAGCACAGAAGGAGGCCATTCAACCCAATGTATCTGTGCCAGCTCTTTGAAAAGAGCTATCCAAATCAATCTTACTCCCCCGCTCTCTCCCCATAGCCCTACAAACTTGTCCTCCCCAAATTATTATCTATCCACTTGTATCTTTCCTAAGGCACAACCATGGTGAGACCTCTGAAGAAGCATGTAAAGCAAGGTGAGTATGAATGCCAGTATGATGCCGTCATTTGTTTCCTCTTTAAATGTTTTGAGAAGATTGGCACCTTAAAGCCTTGACACTCTATTGCTATCACAATCTTTGCTGCTGAGGTAAGAATAACAGCTGACATGAGGATTCCAAAGGTCTACTATAAAACCCCAAGTCTACTCATGTGTTGCACAATAGAATTGTTAAGGCTTCAGAAAGAGCAATCATTTAATCGATCTTCAAGTAACTCTTAGTTTCGAATTAAAGAGGAAGGGATGTACAGATGTATCATTTATTGTATCTAAAACAGAGTGGCCACGTATTCTTGATCCCTAGTCTTTCCAGTTCCAAGTGCCTTCGGACATCCTCCCGACGTGAAAGGCGCTCTATAAATGTAATCTTGTTGTTGTTGTTGTATGGCATATTAAACAGGAGTGAGCAGGTGAGTGGGATCAAATTAAATGGCTCATGTGGAGTAAAAACAATTATTGCAAATGTGATGGACCAAACGATAGGTTTCTGTGCAATACTCCACAATACTACAACATTTCAGGTTAACCAATCTTTATTGCTTACGTGTTTGTTTATTTAGACGTACTTGTTTTTGTATGATATCCAAAAGTTTCCACGTGTGTTCTTCAGGAAAGTCGTTGTTGCCATAGTGCTTGATGACGTCAAGAGTTTTCTCATCCAATACTTTTTCAATCTGGTAAAATGAAAGACACTTTAATTGATTCTTGGCTATTTTGATAATCAACAATGTGATTCCTGCTGCTAAATGACAGGATTCAGAGTGAATCCTTTTTGTTGTCAGGAGAAACAGTTAGTAGAACAGCAAACATTACATGAATATTCAGTATAATTGATTGAATCATTAATGATGCACAATGAGTCAACCACCCTTTATCATATCCTTTTTTCAGCATAAGACATTGACTCAGAAGTGGGTTCCCGAAAGTCATTGCAAACTGTCAATTTTTTTGCCAGGTACATGGCACCAGTTATAATGGAAACAAAAATCAATATCTTTAATCCAGTTTAGTAGTGATGATGATTTACTGAAGGAAAAGCAATAATCACAGATACATCACATCACTATATGCTTCCTCATTGTTTGGGAGGAGCAGTATGTTTACTCAGAAAACTAACAAGCACCAAAAAATATGGTGTAAAGATAGGTCACATGTAAAAATTAAATAAAGGGAAAAGATTGCACACGATAGCATGGGCAAAAGGAAAAGGCAAGGAAATTAGGAGGTTTTTTTTTGGACAGAGGGTTTTTAGGATGTGGAATGTGTGGCAGTCTCAGTAGTCTGATTCCTGAGCTAGGCGGGTCTGCAGTATTCAAGGGCTCTCAGATCCTGTTAACCCTGAAATAGTCAGGGTGGTCGGCCAGAGAAGTAGTAAGAAGCTTGCAAAACAGTGCTCTCAATGGCAAGCTATGCAGTTTTACCTGGCTCAACTCCAGAAGTACCCTCAACTCACACTCTTGGGTCCCCCAAACCTTGGCTCATGCCGACCTGTCCCTCATATTCTCCGGGATTCATAATCTGGGAGCACCTCTCCAGGGAGCGAGTGCACATTCCATTCCAGACATAGGGGAATTTCCAAGTGTAGGTGGCATATATATGTGGAACTCACAGTCTGGTTTGGATACTCTTAAGCATATGATGGGTTGCCACATGTGTCAGTCACCTGGCTGACCCAAAAAACATAGTGTTTTGAAATTTCAACACACTGTACTGATTCTGAAGATCCCATGCTGTTATTGGAAGACAAGCAGTTCTTCCAGTATTCTGATCAATATGCTTCCCTCATCCAAAATGAAACAAAAGACAATGCCTATCAATGCTCTCATTGATCTATGTGGGGTATTTTTGGATGCAAACGAGGAGCCATATTTCCTGAGATACCCATACTCACTAATAACAATAGTCACTAATCCTCAAAGCAACAACAACAACTTGCATTCATATAGAGCCCCTCATGCAGGGTAGCGACCCACACCGCTTCCCTCAGCAATAAGAAATACACTGTGTGGAGTGGTTTGAGCTTTGTACAAATCCATCCTGATTTACAAAGGAAAACAAAACATACTCCACAATAATCCTTCACCCCTCACATCTCCACTGTTCAAACCCATCCTCCACAGAACAGACAACTCCTAATTCAGTCCCAGCACCATAAATAGCATCCAAACCCATGGAATGATGCCCAGTTGTGATAACACTGCAAGGGAATCTTATTTGTGATTCTATTCAAGTGTCTTATTGAACAACCTGACTGATTGGGCACAAAGAAATGTAACTCAAGATCAATTTACCCTAAATTTACCCTTCTCTTTATCCTAAATTCTCTTTAACAATTTATAACCCTACCAATCCACACAATAATATTTCACATACCTTATTTTGCTGGAAAAGTAGAGCTAATCCAATAGCAAGTTGAATGATGAAAATGAGAGCGAGGAATATCAAGTACTAAAAGAGAAATAAAACAAAATAAATTGCGGAAAGAATTCCTACCCAACTGATACCATATTTAACTATCCATTAAACAATACGATCTCTTAAAATACATTTCCTTGAACACAAATGAAATCCACCTGCAGCTGCCTCGACTGAGATCAATCAATATATTAAAACAATATACTAAAACCGCTTCTAGCCGGATCAATGGGGTTGGGGGTGGGTGGTGGGGGAGATATGATATGGCGAGCCGGACTTTCTGGCTGAGTATAATTACAGTATTGGTACTGGCATTTATGGTTTTGTGGAGTCCTGTAGCTTAGTGGTTGGAGCACTCGCCTCGCAAGCGAGAGGACCTAGATTCAATTCCCGGCAGGGCGAAATGTTGGGCAAGTTTCCTTACTCCACATGACTTTGTTTACCTAGCAGTAAATAACAATAATCTGGTCATCAATCCACGACTGTTCATGGGACATTGCTGAGCGCAATTGGCTGACGCATTTTGCCCACAAAATATAGTCAGTTAATTTTACAGTATATTCTGTGAAGCACTTTGAGAAGATCCTATATCAGATGCAAGAATTATTATTATTATTATTATTTCAACACAGTTTTTCACAGTGCCCCAAACATGCCAGTAAATGCTGGTACTGGGGTTACAATTGTTTGAATCCCACCAGCAGAAGACAGCTATCGTTTGTTTGCGGGATTCAAACTGAGTGAAAGTCGACATCCCTGGCTACTGAAGATCAGCAGGGCCCCTGAGGGCTTACCGTATTACAATTATCGAAAAGAGATGTAGACTTGATTTGCTATCATTGGGTCTTTATGGATCTTATCAAAATCACATTGGCATTTTCAAACTATACTTATATATAAAAATACATCCAGCATTTTATTACCTGCATACCAGATCTGGCAATATTATGTTGAAATAATAATAGTATTGGAAGGAGGGAATTTCCACATTACCAATTGCTTTGATATATTTTGATACCAAGCATATACCCACTTAATTGGCACATATACCCACTTAATTGTTCCACATTGCTATGACAAGCCAGTGCTCCTGATATATTTCACTATAGTTCAAATGAAATAACATTTAAGTTGGATTCAGATAGTTTAGACCGACAAAAACTAACTATGGGATTCATATTAAAACATATAATTAAGTAAACAATCCAGGGTTCTGAAGTAAGTGTATCAAGTGTTGGACAATGTAGCTGAAATTAAATCACAATACTTCTTTGACAATCATGTCCCATTTGATAGGCATCACATTTAATGCAATATTTACAGGAGCATGCTGCTATAAAATATGAAAAACTATCCAGAAGTTCAACTTTTTATGGGCTTTTAATGGCAGGAAGTTTTAAAGTGCACTGAACTTACCAGAATAAGTAAGCATTTTACTTCTTTTATGCTTCCTATACATCCCATCAAGCAGACTATGATAGCAGTGATACCAATCGCAAGGAAACAGTAGGCAGCGATCCTTAAGACATTATCATTTTCATCTGCAGGGACTTAGAAGTTTGGAAACCGATCAGCACATAAACTTATAAAACAGCCTTTCATGTTTTTTCCAACATCCCCCAAACTATGCAATCAAAACAACTTTTTATATATATTGTGTATTAAACTGTCAAGATAAAGCTTCGAGTCTAACCAGCCTCATTCGTCGTCATTAGTAAACTTCAAAGGGTCAACTCTTTCTCAATTCAGCTTCTTGGTTCACATTCACATTCGATATATTTTCATTTTGTAAAAATAGCAACATTAATAGGAAGCAGAAGATAAATTTTGTAAATTCACAAACATTTAAAAAGAATGTACAGCATGGAAACAGGCCATTCTGCCAACCAGTCCATGCTGGTGTTTATACTCCACTCTTCTCCCATTCTTTTTATAATTTTAAACACTCCTATTAGGTCAACAAACAACAACAGAATTACATTTGTATAGCACCTTTCAGGTCGGGAGGACGTCCTCCTTAAATGCCTCTACTCTAGTGCAAAAAGGCTTAACCTCTCCAGTCTATTCTGATAGCCTGGTATTATTCTTATAAATCTACTCTGTACTCTTTCCATCGCTGCTACATGCTTCTTATAATGTGGAGACCAGAATTGGACACAATACTCCAAGTGTGGTCTTATCGAGGTTTTTGTACAAATTCAACATCACCTCCTCACTTTTATATTCTATCTCTGTGGATTTCGCTCACAAAACAGTCCATTATATTCTGTGAATTGCTTTGAGACATCTTGAATATGTGATAAGACGCTATATTAATTGCAAGGATTATTATTATTATAAAGCCCAAATCCCATTGTCTTTTTTTTATAGCCTTATCTACCTATATAGCCACTTGTCGAGATTTGGGAATCTGAATTCCCAGATTTCTTCCTCCTCTACTCCTCTGAGTTTCCTACCATCCAGATTAGAGACAACTTCTTTATTTTTCCTGCCAAAGTGAATTACTTCACCTTTTGCTACATTAAACTTGATTTGCCATCTGTATCGAAACAAATCTGCTGAGTGATGCCCTCAGGAACTCCCAATTGGATTATGATCTGTGTGACTAAGAGAAAGGATATTTTGTGGTAGGAACAATTATATTAGAGCTTCATGGTTACTTTTCTTTGTTATATTTTATATTCGCTGACTGTTTAATGTGGCATAAATATTTTTGTTGCAGTAAAAATGCTCGATGGCATAATACATTATCATCAGTACTGTGCATGTTGGTGAATGAAGAGAGGATATTCTGCTATATTGGGTACAATCAGGAATACACATTTAAAATTGCATATAAGGTCTACAATGTGTTATTGCATTTATTTGAATTTTAGAGCTACAAAAATGCAGCTACTCCAAGAGTTCAGAGTATGTCTAACCTGCAATCAAATGGAGTTACAATAGAAGAGCCTCATGAGAAGTATATAAGGACAATTGAGGCAATTGTAATCAAAAGACGTAAGCACACAATTGAAGAGTTTCTCATAGTGTCCGGGTAAACAATACCCAGAGAAAATTGGACATTCATTTTGTGGTTTGTGGAATACTGGTATGCAAAAACAACACACAATCATCATCAGTAAATTGTGTGAAGTGCTTTCAAACCTTTCAACAACAATGATAAGGCATGATATCCAATGTAAGGATTATTATTAACAATTTGGTTACCTAAATGTGCTGATTGTTTTGCTAATGAAAGAATTTAAACCATTGTTCATTCATGTTTAAAATTAAATTAAACGTGTGAAATGAAAAGTCAGATCCTGATTCTGAATGAGTTATTTTAAACTCAGAAATAATGTCTCACCATCCTCCCATCAGCAATTCTACACAGGACATTTATTTTCAATCATATACATTAATGTTATTTTCTAAAAAGATAATATTAACATGTTTAACTTCTTATTTTGCATTACAATCTTGCTCTCCTATTTCTTTAGCTTTCAGTGAATGAAACTGTACTCACATAGCACAGTGATGAAACTGTTCTTATCCCACAACACCCAAATGCCGCTTCCCAAAATGATTGCTCCAACAATCTGAAAGTATGTAAAAGAACCATTTCAACCAAAATGCAGGCAGTCACAGTCTGTGATCTATTGGTCAATCATCCTCAGCTTAAATGATCATGGTTTTTTGTGAGACATTTCTGGTGAAAATAGTCATGGCTTTACAAACAAAACAGTCACTGCACTTGATCAGAATTATTTGTTAAACACTTTGAAACATTTCCACAAGGTGTTTTAAAAATATAAGATTTAGATCAGAGCATCTTTGTTTAGAGGTAAAATAGAAATTTGTCAGGAAATGTTTCAGTAGTTTAGAAACACAGAACACTAACTGCAATTTGCATCTAAAATTATGCAACGTAGGTCAAACATTTGGGTTTGAAACTAAAAGAACTATTAAGCAGTGACTATTTCACATTAGATTATTCTGAGACTCTATTCACACCTTATAAATATGCTGTTTGCTTAGCAAAAATCAAGTAATTCTGGAATCTCTCTCAACGGCATGTTGTATCACTATGTTTATAGTACAATGGAGAATGGAAACTCAATAGAGAGGCCAATGCTTCCTATTTCTGAGTTGCTTTCATCGATGAAGTATAAACAAGGCGATACAGTTATTCTACTATATCGTAATGGTTGGCACATTCTAAACACATAACTTTATAGCAACTCAGGCAAAGTAGACAAGTTGACATTGAACTGTTTTGAGTAACTGTGGGAAATTGCCACAAAGAGAAGACTTTTGATCCTTGGCAATTTCAGTTACTCGGTAATTTCATTTGGAGGGTGGGGGGTGGTGGGGGGGAGGGAAGAAACTGATTGATTGAAGCAGGCCCCTTTTGATTCAGGTAGCAAATCAGTGAACCAAGGCAGATGCCATGTTAAATTTAGGATTTATTAATGTATCGGAAACAGTCAGTAAAACTAGAGGTGAGGGATCATGTAGGCATAAATGTTCATAATGTTGCATTTGACATGTTGATGAGGATTAGCGACATGAGCGTTAGAATTAGTGCTGAACTTCAGAAGAGCATTTTTTTTTTGCGATTCGGAAAGAACCAGGAAAGATTACAGGATAAAAGTACAGAGAGATTGCTTGTTTTTAGAGAGGCCATATGAATCTAGATGAAACCCATGCCACTTGGAAGCAATAAGATAATATCTGGACACAACAAAATAACTAAATAGAGAGATAAAGAAAAAACATAAAATAAAGGGATATTGCATAATGAGGTTAACTGATAGCAGTATTGGAGGAAGCCAGGAGGCTGTTTGTGGAACATTGCTGTGTGCAAACTGATTCCTGCATTTGCCAGCAAATACATAGTTATTACACTTCACAGTAAAATCCTGTGAATCCTTTGAAATGCATCAACTGATGCGATAAGGCACTATATCAAATGCAAGGATTATTAATAATAATAAACAAATACCAGGCGGAAGCAACTGAGATCCAAAGGGATATATTTAAGCAATAATAGCAGTAAATTGTATATTAAAAATCAGATAGGAATATGTTAGGGCAAAAAACTAAAGATTAACAATTGTACATCTGGCTAGAAATCCATTGTCACTATACTTCACAGTAATTCTTGTGACATCCTTTGGGATGTCCTTCCAACACGAAAGCTGCTATATCAAATGCAAGTATTCTAGTTATTTATGTACTAAATTATTATACCAGTTTTCACAAGTGAAAATAGTGGTCAAATTTGAGAATCAGATCTTTATCTCGGAAATTTTTAACAAGTGAGTGTTATCATTTGACAAATGTTTTATGCTCATAAAACTAGAGAAATCACATTTAGAAAAGAAAGCAGCATACTCACAAGAAAAATGGAATTAAATATACTCAGAACATAAGTAAGGATGTGCACTTTGTCTTCATATTTCATTTTCTTGCTTATGATGGTTTCCAAAATTTCTGTGTAAAGAGACATTCCAAGACAACCAGATATTAAATGATCAGTATTTAATGGAACATGCCTGTTGGTGGCAGTACAACAGTTTGTAGAAGCAGGTGTTGATCCAATTTCACTTCAATGCAAGCGTCTGCCTACCTTAGAAATATATGCCAATAAATATTGATTGCCACTCACTCTCTCTTAGAAAAAGACACCTTCGAGATGTGAAACAGTATAATAATAAAGGGCCTTGAAGCAATGTAGATCGTTTTTAATTTTCAGAGTGTTTTACATTTCAGGTAGTCTTTATGCCATTTATATTGGGAACAGTGGATTACAACAACAACAACTTGGATTTATATAGCGCCCTCCACCCCGGATGGCATCTCAGAGCGCTTTACAGTAACGGACAGGGGGAGGGGGAGGAAGGTGACCAAAGGCGCGGTCGAAAAGAAAGGTATTCCCATTACCATGAATGGGATTTTAAAACTGTTGTTTCTAGCATAATTATTGAAGAATTGTTGATGATATTCTGGCAAAATACATATCTGATCAGTACCAATTGAAACCAAACAGGCCACTTATTTTGATTTGGCAAATATTAGGAACCAAAAAAATAACATTTGCTGAAGTCACCGTCCAGTGTGAAACTGAACCATTTGTCTATACTATTTTAATAGGTAAGAACTGTCTATTAGGCCAACAGATCATATTCAATATGACCTTAATACCTATATCGATAATTTTCCAGATGCAAGAGTCATGTTGTACATACTTATCACTTGACCTAAAAGAATTAAAAACAAGGATCTAACCATGTCTATTTTTGAATTTGTCTGAAAAGAGTATGAGAGAGAAATTCAGAGTCAGAAAGTGGGTCAACGAGAGAAGGAATGAGAGAGAGTTAGATAACATCATGGGGATTGCATTATAGAGAAAAAGAAAGTCAGAGAGAGAGAAAGATATAGCACAGTGTCGTAAAACTGAACTTACTTACCCCAGTACTTTTTAATTAATTTTGAGATGGTAATTTCATCAATGCAGTTTAGTCTCAGTATTTTACTCGTATTCTATTAACCTTGTTTTCTCTGATCACTTATACTTTCTGAACAGAGATGCAGTTTCCGGAACCAAATCTTGAGCCAAACACCTTATTTTAAAGATAAAGAATCCAAAGTACAAGGTACGGTTTCACCAAGTAATCAGGTAATCAGGTAAATTATTCATTAACCAGAACTGTGTAACAAAAAGCTTTGAAAGAATGAAAGACAGATCTTCTTACAGTAAGAATGAAGTTACACAGAGAAATCAGCTGTTAAGCTGACGCAGGCACCAAATGAAACACCCCATGACTTCTTCAAAATTTCAACTATAATTTTAAAAGTTCCTTAAAAATGTTCAGAGTTTCTGGGTTGTGAGACTAACAGACATTTGAGCTGTCGCAGTCGTGGTTAGATAGCAAGTACATTGGTACTTCTAAAGCATGACATTATTCCTTATCCAGCGCCTTGGGATGTCCTCTGATGTGAAAGGCGCTATACAAATGTAATTTGCTGTTTAAAGTCATCTTGAAACCAAAACCAAAAGTGCCCTGTAACAATTTTCCAAATAAACAACTAGGTTATAAAATGCTTTGAGAAAATCTGCACAAATATATTGTTAGACCAATGCAAACACAGCTTGTGCTTTTTTTCTATTGTAATTTAAGTTTTGTCCATTTAACCTCATCCTTTCAGAATGCTAACCCTACAATTGCCGCTTCACGGCATCAAGATGACTTCTCTGAATCTTCCTGATAACCAGTTTCAGCTGCCAATTACCCTCTGTGTCAAGAAATATTTCCTGGTATCTGTCCTAAATTTTCCCTTCCCTACAGAGAACTGGTGACCTCCTGTTCTGGGGATATCTGATAAATACTATTCTGGGTTAAATATTATTCCAATTGTTCCATTAAAAAAATTAAGACAATTGTGCAGAAAATTTCTCATAGTATGGAAATGAAATTCATCTGCCGATAAGTAGGTGAATTGTGTTGATGCGGGAACTTTAATAACATCGGATTAGCACGTGAAAGGCTAAAATGCTGAGTGGAACAAATGCATTAAACTAGCGAGTCAGAACATAATGTAAATCTGAGATTCCATTCTGAATCACATTACTTCCAGCAGTGTTAAAGGGCACTAATGTACGACAGCAAGTCTTTTCCATGGGTCACATTACCAGGACTCAATATTCTCTGCTCTTGTGTTCAAAGGTTAAATTGGCATTCTAGCAGAGTAGTGAAGGTGATAGATAGTGAACCCCCCAGTTCCTAACATTTGTATTGACGTCCCACATGGAGGTAATCATACAATTATTCGGCAGGGAATATGCGGAAACCTTGGGATGTTAGCAGAGGAAAGCTTTTATGGCTTAGATCTGACACTGTTTGTGCTGCATTATGCTGAAGAACAACATATCTGTGCACAGTGAGTGTTCAGCTGTGCATTATATAGCAAGGTAATGACAATGCTGTGGATTACCAATCAAAGGAAAAAGCACCCCTACTTGAAGCAAGCACCAGTCCAGAAATATTCACTGCAGGTACATTACCAGGTTTTATAATAATAATAATAAATCTTGCGTTTAATATGGTGCCTTATCACTTTATTGAGACAACTCAAAGGGCTTCACAAAATTCACAAAATTAACTGTAAAGTGCAGTGTGTTGTAGGCGAATGCAGGAATCAATTGGCACACAGCAACGTCCCACAAACAACTATGAAGTGAATGACCAATTTTATCCATGGTGATTGTTGGTTAGGAACACTAGGAAAAACTTCCTTCTCTTTTCAAATAATGTAAAAGGTAGGAGTATAAAAGGGTAGAAGTGTTATTATAAATTTAAGTTTAATCTGAAGTGAAATTTGATGGTATAGAATTGATATGAAACAGCTTAAATGTATAAGAATCAATACAGCAACAACTTTAATTAGCATATTCCCCTTTGTGAAGGATAATGTCTTGGAGCACTCCGAGCACTTCACAGAGGTGGGGTCAAATGCTAAGCAAAGTAGAAGGGAGATTGGGAGTTGACCATTGGCTTGGTCCAAATGGTAGGTTCTGAGGTGGGTTTTAAAGAGAGAAAAAATTAAAGAGACATGTGGTGAATGAAGCAGCTGGGAAATACAATGATATGAAACAGTAATGTGGGAAACTGCAATGTTTCTTTTCAACTCCAAACTGATACAATTACCAAAAGACATGGGACCCCCACACAGTCATTACAAGCAGATGATAAACCTGGGACTCTCTCGTGAAAATGTATAGACACCATTGTATTAATAGAACGTTTACAATTATATTCCCAACAGCAGAAAGATACAATAAATATATTCAGCATATTCTGGGACATTCACTAGTGTGAAGTGAGAGATAAAGAAATATTAATTTACAAAAATATTTCCCCAAACACTGACTCCATACTACTGGGGAGAAATTCCACCTGGGTCTAGATTTACTCTGTGAAGATAGCATTTTAGAGCACCAAGAGTTTACCAAATTGTTGAATTCAGTCTTAACTTTGAAATCGGTTTCTGTAGTTCTTTAAACTTAAGTCAACTCAAAATTAAGTTAAGAATTTGCCAAAATCTGGACATTCTGAAACATTTTATTTAAATACATATTTATTTTAATCTGTCAATCTGTTACCATGGTGGTAAAATTAGTTTGTCTCAATCCTTTTGATTTCAGAAGAGCACAGCACCACTGTGTGTCTAAACAATAGAATTACAATAACCTGGACATTATACATAATCCTGAATTCTGCTTGTTTTAATGAAGAGACACTTCTGTGTTCACTGTAAATACACACTATGCTCATAGGCTAGGTTAAGAGTGCAGTAGCAAATTCTTAAGTTAAATTTGTGTTAAGTTAACTTCCAGTGCAATACTGGGGAAATTCTCTTTTGAATGAAGCATTACATCAAGGCCCTGACTATCCACTCAGGTGGATTTAAAGTTTCCATGACACTATTCAGAGAGAGAATGTTTTTTTCCTGATGTCCTCGCCAACACTCCTCAGATTAACTTTAGGGCTATTTTCAAGACATTTATGTGTGGAAACTGGCTATCTCTTTTGCCATAATATACAGAGTCCCTACACTTTGCAGTAAAATCCAGTGAAGTGCTTTCAGACCTAGTCCTAGTGAAAGACCGGGAAAACTCCCTTCTCTTTTCAAATAGTGTCAAATGTTTGAGTATAAAGGGATAAAAGTGTTATTAGAATTTTAATCTGAAGTGAAATTTGATAGTATAGAGTTGATATGAAATGTAAATTTGGATATATCAAAAGCAAAAATTATTTTATTATTATTACTTTAATTATAATAATAATAATAATCCTTGCATTTGATATAGCGCTTTTCACGTCTTCTAGACGTCCCAAAGCGCTTCACAGAATATACTGTAAAGTGAATTGACTGTATATTTTGTGGGCGAACGCGGCAGCCAATTGCGCACAGCAATGTCCCACAAACAGTTGTGGATTGAAAATTACCAATTTATTATTGTTTTGTTTTTTGGAGGGATTATTATTAGGCGAGTGGAGTAAGGAAACTTGCCCAAGGTTTCGCCCTCTGCCTGGAATTGAACTCAGGTCTCTCACTTGCAAAGCGAGTGCTCTAACCACTGAGCTACAGGACTCCAATTAGTCATTCTTCTCATGGTTGTTTGAGAGACATGCTGATAATAATAATAATCCTTGCATTCGATATAACATCTTATCACATCGAGACATCTCAAGCACTTCACAGAATATACTGTAGTGAATTGACTGTGTATTTTGTGGGCGAAATAATGCACAGGACTGCCACTTTTCCTACAAAAACAGCTACTACAATTGATAGTAATTATGCCTGAAATGCTTATGTTGAAATGAGATATTTCAACTTGATGCTATAGCAAAATTCTCTCTTTTTCTGTTGCTTTCCCAATATCAGGTTTAATGTGCAGTTAATTGTTAACATGTGCTTGATGGTCAAACTGGTTTAGATTTCTTTTTACTAGATTCTCCACAACACCCTTTACTCAGTTTTTCTTCTTTTCATTGATGTTCATCTCTGTTTAGTATCCCAGAGCCTGAAAGGCAGGCAATGAGTTTGTCCTATTCTACCTGGGTCAAAGTATTTACTTAAGTAATAGAGCATTTTAGAACTCCCATAATTTGCCAAATTGTTGAATTCAGCCTTAATATTAAGTTGGTTTTATGTAGTTCTTAAAAGGTAAGTTATGTTAACGCAAAATTAAGTTAAGAATTTGCCAAATTCTGGACGTTCTAAAGTGACATGTTAATAGAATAAATTTAGACCTAAATGGAATTTCTCCCCTTATGAATGCTGCTTGATACTCTGCCAACAGAAGGAATGTCTACTTCAAATTAAGGCAATGCACACCACTTTTTCTGGTTCACCACTGGAGGACAACATTCTGCCAACATTTTCTCCCCTTTATAGGGTAACAGAAGAATATTCTAAAATTGAATATGACAGCTGCCACCCCCCTACAGCCTTTTAGACTATTGAAAGACAGTGTTACGTTTTATTGTAGATTTATTTTTATTATAGCCGCTGGAGAAACAACTTATTGCGTTTGTACAGGTTTATGGTCTTGAAATAGGCTCCAACAATTATTATATTTTGTTGAAAAATGATCTACTGGTATGGTTTTGATGTACTGTACCTATAGTGACAAGAGAAAATAATTTCCCTCATAAAAGATCAGAAGAAAGAGGCTGCAAAGCTGGCCAGTATCAGGATGTTTATTCCAGAGGTTATTTATGGTAGGTGAATGCGCAGAAAGCAAGGGTTGATTTTTCTCAGATCCTCTACGGTAATAATAATTGCAAGAGACTTTGCAGGCCTCATTCTATCCCAAAGCTAGAAATTGCACAAAGCAGGTAATGAGTACTGTTGTGATATTATGTAAACGTCAAGGGCCATGCTCGTTACACGTTCTGATGTTAAATTATATTTGACTAAAAGTCAAATGTACTCAATTTGCACAACTTTGTTTTAGGAAGCTAAGTTATGTATAAACGCTGCACATATTTTATATTTAAGACTTATGTGAAACGCTCTGGACAACTAGACAATTATAAACAAAATGCAAAATACTG